CTATGTGCCTGACACTATGCTATAAATGCTTTACAACTATTATGTCATTTGATCCTCACTAGAACCTTGGGAAGTAGATAGAAGGGGGAAGAGGAGGAAGAGCATCCTCAAATCAAATCCTCTGTTTGGCATTCAAAGCCCTTGACAACCCCTCTGGTCCCTTCCTAGGCTTCCCACACCTTCCTCACCCCCACATTCTCCGACCTCCTGTGATAATGACCTCCTTGCTATCCCTCCCACAAGACACTCCTCCAGACTACGGGCATTTTTTTCTGGCTGCGTCCCAGGCCTGGAATGCTCTCCCTCCTCATCTCCACCTCATGGCTTCAAGTCCCAGCTAAAACTCCACTTTCTACAAGAAGCTTTTCCTCATCTCCCTTAATGCTAGCGCCTTCCCTTTCTGATGAACTCCAGCAGCTGTTTGTTCGGGTCTTTCCTCATTAGACAGTGAGCTCCAGGAGTGCAGAGTCACCGGACTTTCTCTCGGACCCTTCATGATTGGCACAGAGGCAGGGGGCTGTCCACTCACCGGCTCTCGGGGCTCTCCTCTCCGCCGCTCTCTCGGACCATCCGGGCCACCTCGGGGAAGCCGGCCTCTTCGGCCAGCTGCGCGGCATCGCGGCCTCCGGGCTCACAGACGCCCACCCAGGCGGCTCCTCGCGCCAGCAGATAGCGCACGGCCGGCCCCTGCCCGGCCCGGGCGGCGCACATCAGCGGGGTCCACCAGAAGGCGTCCCGGGCATTGACATCACCCCCGCGGGCCCCCGGGCCTCGGGGCTCCAGCAGGGCGCGCAGCTGCCGCACGTCCCCGACCTGGGCAGCCCGCAGGAGCCGCGCGGTCTGTCGGTCCCAGGCCCCATCGCTCCGGGCGCAGGCCGCAGGCGCTCCCGCCGCGGTCCTGGCCCTCTCCGGCCTAGTTTTCTGCGTCCGTTTCCTCCCCCTGGGGGGCGCCTGCGAGGATCCCGGGGGCGCTTTAGGGGCGTCTCCCTCCACCCCAACCAGAGCTTCATAGAAGTTCCGGGCGGCGGCACCATCCAACGGGGGCTCCGGCTCCGGCTGCTGCCGCCCGTCCTTCCAGAAGTCACTCGAGTCCCGGGCCGGAGTGAAAGCGATGAGGGCGGGGAGGGTCATGACTGCCGGGGTGGGGGAACATCAGACCAGCCGCCCTCAGGGGCAGTTACCGGGCCAACATGGACCGAACATTCTCGGTCTAAAACGCCCACTGGGTCATCCTTAAGCTAACGCAGCAAAGGGAGGCAAAGCCCGCCCCCACCTCCCGAAATATGCCGGCGACCGGCAACCACAAAATGATGGCGACAGTCCCCCTCCCTACATTCCCAGCTCCAACTCCCTACGCTTGGTACTCGGCGGCGACTTCAAGTCCGGGTAGCAACCAGAGCCAGGCTGAAATTCGGTTCCGACACCCGCACACACAGCGCCGGCGCAGAAAACACTCCGGAAACAGATAACCGAGAAGAGAATGCGCCTGCGTCAAACTACAGTCTCAGCGCGAAGAAAATGGCGCGGTATGCAACGAAAGGACAACCTGAAGTGCGCCGCCTGGGCAGCCCCCATATCATAAGCTTGCAAGACGTAGGACCGGCGGCCGGAGCGGGGCGAGGATGGAAAAAAGACAGACAGACAGACACACACACACACACACACACACACACATACACATAAACACACAGAATTCTGCGCCTACGTCGTGCTTATTTTGCGCCTTTTCTCCGCCCCTTAGCTGTCCCGGTTGATTCGAATTGCTCGGTGGCTCGAGGAAGGCTTGTGCCCAGAGGCGCGAAGGCCACCGTGGGGGAGGGGAGGGAGCCGGCCGTTAGGGTTCTTCGTTTGCATAAAGCCCCACAATGCTCCTCGATCCTCCCAAGGTGGCCCCCGAAGCCCATTTCCTGGGGCCAGAGACGGGGTTTCAGTGGAGTCAGCTGCCCAAGGAAGGTGGGCACAGGCCTGCAGGGTGCAGCCAAGACTAAATGTGAATTAGGGCCACGCTGCTTCTCACTCTTAGTACAACCAGCATTTGAGGGCTATACAAAGAGCCTTGTCCTGCCTCAGGCCCAGCCTAGCCCCTAGGAGTGGAGGAGGAATGGAGAAGGGCAAGGGGACAACTAACAGGATGACAGGTGCCACCTCAGGTTAGCGGCCCCCTCCCGTGACAAGCCCTTTTCCCGAAGGTTGGGGTTAAACCCTTTCACTCCCTAGTGCCATCCCACCTCCAGTCTCTGGAGAGAAGGAACAAAGAAGAAACCTGGTCACCCAGTGCCCAGAGGAGGGTGGACATGGGGATCTGTTTGGTAGAGCTGGTATAGGGGTGATTTGTGGAGAGGTGGGAATAGGGGATGGTAAAAGCTAATTGGCAATTTGGAGGAGGAAATAAAAGATAGGGGTAATGACGTTGGATAAGGGGAGAGAGATGCCTATGATGGAGGGGTGATAAGGGAGATGGGATGTGGGAAGGCCTTCATGCTTTACTGAGAAAACAGAATCGATTCTTCACCTATTCTATAAACCAACCTTCTCAATTATCTCCCATTTTCTCCTTATAAGAAGGCACTCCTTCTCCTTGCCAACCCCCTCTCAATTTGTACCCTTCATCCTGTCTCCTCCAGGAGCTTGCCCCTCTCTCATCTTCAAATTCTTCTTATCCTTCCCTCCTATCCACAAACATGCTCTGGCCTTCCCCATCTTTCCCTAAACCCTCATATGACCTTAGCACACCCTCAAGCTATCATCCTATATCTATCCTTTTCACAGCCAAACTCCTGGAAAAAGCCTTCCATACCTCTCTCACTACCATAACCAAAACTGTTCTCTCCAAGGTTATAAATAATTTCTTAATTATAAATTATGAATTTTCTTTAAACTATAAACCCATTGGCCTTTTCTCAGTCCTCATCTTTTTTAACCTCTCAGTTTCTGACACTATTCATCACCCCCTCTTCCTAAACACTTGCTCCCAACTTAGCTTTTATCACACTGCACTCTCCTGGTTTTCCTGCCTGAATGACTACTCCTCAGTCTCCTTTGCTGGAACATCATAGGTGTTCAAACCACTAAGCATGGGTGTTCTCCTTAAGGCTCTGTCTTGGCCCTTTTTTCTTTCTCTACAGCATTTCTTTATATCAGTTCCCAAAGGTTCAATTATCTCTGTACAAAGGTCCCTCAAATCTATATATCTAGCCCTAATCTTTCTCCCAAATTCCAAGTCTTATGTCAGTTAGTTCCACAAACACTTGTTAAGCATCTACAGTGTACCAGGCACTGTGCTAGGCACTTGGGATACAAAGACAAAAGCAATGATGAATAAAGTCTATTGACTATTGTGATAGGCTCCAAGGTGCTCTTTCTGCTTCCAATTTGTTCCCTCTCCAATCTTTAACATAGAAGCAAAAAAAATCTTGCTAAAACACAGGTCTGAACATGGCACTCCCCTAATCAAGAAAGCTCTGTGTTCTACTGTTGCCTCTAGGATGAAATACAAATTCCTCAATTTAGCATTTAAAGTCACAATCTGGCTTTAATTTACCTCTTCATATTTATTTCACAGTACTTTCCTTTGTCCACTCTTGTGTCATAGTCAAACTGACCTATTTGCTTTTCTCTGAATTTAGCATTCCATCTTTTCCCTGCTTCTGGGATGTGCTGTGCCTTTAAATATTAAGAATTAAAACCTAGGGGCAGCTAGGTGGCGCAGTGGATAAAGCACCATAGTAGAAATCAGGAGGACCAGAGTTCAAATCCGACCTCAGACCAAACACTTGACACTAGCTGTGTGACCCTGGGCAAGTCACTTACCCCAACTGACTTGCTAAAAAAAAAAAAAGAATTAAAACCTAAGGATAAACTGAGAAGCATTATGATAGATACTCTACCTGTGAGACATATAGGGGAAAGATTTTCCAACTCCCCTTAGGAAAATGCACAGGAAAAATGTCCCTCATCTGTGGAATATACTATATCACTTTCATCTCTTAGAATTCTTAGCTTCTTTTTTTGGGTGAAGTGACTTGCCCAGGGTAACACAGGTAGTGTCAAGTGTCTGAGGCCACATTTGAACTCAGGTCTTCCTGAATCCAGGGCCAGTGCTCTATCCACTCGCCACCTAGCTGTCCCAAATTCTTAGCTTCTTTCAGGGCTCAACTCAGATGCCAACACCTACAGGAAGCCTTTCTTTATCCTCCTAGATTTTAATTTTCTTTCAAATTATCTTGTATTTATGTACATATACCTCATGGGGGAGTCGAGGAATACCTATATGAGATCACAGATCGACCGGAATACTGGAATATTCCCCGATAGAATGTAAGCGTCTTACATTTACAGGGACTGTTTTTATGGTTTCTTTTGTAATCCCACCCCCATCAGTGCCTTGAATATAACAGGCGTTTAATAAATGCTTGTTAAAGTACTTACTGAATGATGAAGGATGATTGAAGAGAATGGGATGATGAAAGCTAGTTATAGAGGGATGAGGGTTGTGAGGAAAGGGGAGATGATTGGGAATATGGGTGAGGAATGACAGATGACTGGGGAGGTTTGCAGTAGACTGAATATAGGCTGAAGAACTAGACCGTTATTGTAGATACCCTACCTGTGAGATGTGTAGGAGAAAGACGCTCCAATCCTACTTAGTCCCAGTCTTGTTCGGCTCTTAGATGTGCAGGAGAAAGACTCTCCAACCTTACTTAGTCTGGGTCTTGCCCTCTGTGGGCACGAGGACTACATTTCCCAAGTTCACTAGCGTTAACCTCGCTCTCGAGCGCTTGTTTCCAGCGTCTTAGCTGAGATCCTCCAGTCCTTCCCCTTTTGTGGCCCCGCCCCCTGCCCTATTTCACTGAGAGGGCAGGGGCAAGGGTGTCCTCCGGAAGTCGTATTCTTAGCCCTGCCTTACTACTGCTGCGGGACTCCATATCCCGTCTTCCACCGGGGAGCCTGACCTCTTGCGCCTGCGCTCTGCGTACTTTCCCGCCCTCCCGTTTCTCTTCCCCCTTCCCCTCCCCCCTACCCCCCCACCGCTTCGCCTGCCGCGGTCGGGTCCGCGGCCTTCGCTGCGCGGCTTTGCTGCTGCTGCCGCCGCCCCTGGGAGCAACTTCTCCCTCTCCCTCCCCAGCCCCGGCCCGGTAGGTGAGTCGGAGGGCGCCCCTCCGCACGTTGGGGGCGGGACCTGAGGACGCCTGGCCTTGGGGAGGGAGAGGTCTTAAGGCAGGGCAGGGGAGGCCAAGGTGGTCCCGGACCCAGGGTGCGCGGAGACGCGGAGGGCCCTCCGCAGAGAAGCCCTAAGCTCCGGAGCCTCGGGGAGAGGGGCTGAGCGGCCCGTAGCCGCCCTAGAAAGGAGCAGCCCAGGGAACCGGCCCTGCGGAAGTTGGCTGGGGCCCGGCCTCCCGGGGGGAGGAGAGGGCCGTCTGGGCAGCCGAGGGGGTCAGTAAGGGGGTGAGAGGAGGGCGCCTGAGCCAGGCCTGGATCGTCCCCCTACCCACACACACACACGGGGGAGGGGCAGAGGGAAGGGACACGGGTTTTCTGAGCTTTGGGAAGAAAAGGCTCAGCCAAGAAGGCGAGCGATGGAAAAGCTTTGGGGGCGCGGGGTTGGGGAGAGGCCGAAGAGGAGTTCTCACCTGGATGTGGAGCAGGGCTCCCCATAACTGTGAGCCTGGAGAGGGGAATGGTGAGCCTCCTTCGGAAGTGGGCCGGGGGAGGCAGAGAATGTCAAAGGGATGGAGAGCTCTGGAGAGAGGCTGGCCTTTCGCCCTCCAGGCTAACCTCTTTTCCCTCAGCTGACGTAAAGATGAGTAGCTCAGAGGAAGTATCATGGATCTCATGGTTCTGTGGGCTTCGTGGCAATGAATTCTTCTGTGAGGTAAGATCTTTATTAAGGGTCCCCCAGCTTCTCCATTTACTAATTACTCTCAGACACAGTGTCTTGTATGTGTCCATTCCTCTCATCTCCCCTTCTAGCATTCAAATGCTTAGTGTGTTTCCTCTCTGCTAGCCACCCCAGGCCTTGGTGCTTTCCTTCCCCAGTTGGCACTCACTGTCATCATATACCGTGTCATTGTGCCCCTGAAGCTTCCCCTCTTTTCAGGAACCCAATCATCCTGCTCTCCTCCTATTTAAGGGAGAAACAGAATTCAGGAATCTCCATAGGAGGGGCTAAAGAATCCGAATTGGGTATATCTTGACTGGGGTATTGCAGTTCCTCCACTGAGGAACTCCAGGCAATCTTGGATCTTTTTTCTTTAGTAATCATTACCAGTCCGGTAGAACCTATGGACACCTCAGAATAATGTTTTAGAGACATAAAATACGTAAGATTGCAGTGGAAACCAAATGTATTGATATAGGTACTGAAATTTTGAGTTGGGGAGAACAAGTTCATAGACCCCAGATTAAGAACCCTTGCTCCGTTGTTATAAAGGAGAAAGACTGAGATGGCTTGTTGGGATTTCTGTCAGATTGGAAGGGCAAACAACTGTCTGCTGCAGTAGTAAGGGGAGAATTGAGATGGAGGACCCCTTTGAAGACAAAATGATTATATTTCTGTTATGACACATCAGTGGTAACATTTCCCCTTCCATCGTGGTGCTAGTAATCCAAATGCCAGAGTTCTTCCCTCACTTTTGCATTCTAACAGGTGGATGAAGACTATATCCAAGACAAATTCAACCTCACAGGGCTTAACGAACAGGTGCCCCACTATAGGCAGGCACTAGACATGATCCTCGACTTGGAACCTGGTGAGATGCCCCAACCTGCCTCCTTTATTCCATTTTTCCCAGATGTCCAACTCTTCTCCCTGATCCCAAGTTCCCTAACTCTGGATCTTTTTTTTCTTTTTCTTTTCCTTTTTTTTTTTTTGGCGATAGGCAATAGGGTTAAGTGACTTGCCCAGGGTCACACAGCTAGTTAAGTGTCAAGTGTCTGAGGCCAGATTTGAACTCGGGTCCTCCTGGCTCCAGGGCCAGTGCTTTAACCACTGCATCACCTAGCTGCCCCTAACTCTGAATCTCTTAGCTCTTTTTCTGTACCCATAACACTTACCTAAATTTTTTGGCTTGTAATAGAATTCATCAGCAGTCTGAGCCTGCCATACAGCTCTTACTTACCACTTCTTGATTTTAACTGCAAAAGTTCCCTTGTCTTATCCCTCCCCTCAAGTTTTTTCCCTTCTCTTCCAACCTCCTGTTCCCAGCTTCAAACCAGTAGCACAGCTTACTTGCATTGGTTTATGTGTCAGGTTTGTAGAGAGAAAAGCAAAGGGAACTCAGATTTATATAATAGTATTCTGTGGAGGGCATTGTTGTTCCTAGTTGGTTAGGCAGTTCCTGGGCAGGGTAAGGGTGAGTGGTCTGGGGACAAAAGGAGGGTGGAGGGAAGGTTGACCTGACTGGTATTTCCTGGGGATGGGTAGGGTTCCATAGGGAAAGGGTTGAATGACAGCTGACTGGCTCCTGGTTTGGGTGGGGGGGGCATGTTTCAGATGAAGAGTTGGAGGACAACCCCAACCAGAGTGACCTGATTGAGCAGGCAGCCGAGATGCTGTATGGACTGATTCATGCCCGCTACATCCTCACAAACCGTGGCATCGCCCAGATGGTGAGGTTATCCCACCTCGATCCAATTTTGTTTACTGATAGTTGAGGAAATGAAAAGAAACTTAAGTGCAAATTACTTTCTTGTTATCTGAATAGGACTTTCCCATCTGGGAGGATGAAGTTGAAAATTGGGCTATCAAACAATGTATTATTTATGACAGATTTGTTCTGTAGTTCCTGTGTGGTTTTTATGCTCTTTATTAGGGAAGTAGAAGCCATTTAACACTTGGGGGCTTACTGTCTTCACCTGAGGTGACCAGTAGCTTCACAATGACAAAATTAAGAAATTTCATGTCTAAACAAAGAAAACTTATAATGGGAGCTAGGGGAAAGGAATAATTGATTGGTTTTAGCTCTGGTTCTAGTAGTTGTTGTGAATACTTTAGAGATAGAAGGAGCACTTTATACCTGTGGTGGAAATGTGTCCCGAGGATATTAGATCTATATGCCTGTATTGAGAGAGAGAGACACGTAGACACACACTTATATGTATATGTACAGCCTCTATTAGACCAGTACATTAATACTGCCCCCACTTCCTGATTGTATTCCTCCTCTCAGTTGGAAAAATACCAGCAGGGAGACTTTGGCTATTGTCCCCGTGTATATTGTGAAAACCAGCCCATGTTGCCCATTGGTAAGTATTGGAGGGAGAGGGGAGGGAATTCCTAAGGAGGAATGGAGTTGGGATTTATGGGACCAAAATAAATGCCTGGGTCCTTGGTTGGGGGCAGGGGAAAGGTGAAGAATCAGATGCTGAAGCTGCCTCCCACTGCTCTTAGGACTGTCAGACATACCAGGTGAGGCCATGGTGAAGCTGTACTGCCCCAAGTGCATGGATGTTTACACCCCCAAGTCGTCCAGGCACCACCACACAGATGGTGCTTACTTTGGCACTGGCTTTCCCCACATGCTCTTCATGGTGCATCCTGAGTACAGGCCCAAACGGCCTGCCAACCAATTTGTGCCCAGGTGAGAATGGAAGAAGAGTGGGATAGAGTGGGTTGATCAGGCCTCACCATCCCCCATTTTTTGGGAATTTCTCCCCTGAAAACCAAGTGAAAGAAGGAAGGTGGAGGTAGTTTGGAAGGAGGTGATCTTAAAGAGGGCCCCTGAGATTCCACTTGGCAGTGGGATGAGAATGTGGGGACTAGTCCCACTTTCCCGGCTTCTGATCCTTTCCCTCTCCCCAGGCTGTATGGCTTCAAGATCCACCCTATGGCCTATCAACTGCAGCTTCAGGCAGCCAGCAACTTCAAGAGCCCTGTCAAGACTATCCGCTGACTTGTCTCCTCCCCTCCCCCCCAACACCTCAGGCTGTGACACCATTCCCTCTCCCCCCCTACACACACACCTTTCCAGAACCCCTAATGGTTTTTAGTTTAAATTAAGAAGAAGTCATTATTGTGGTGGTGTGGTGGGAGTATGAAATAAAGTGGAGGAAAAGGCACAGCTTCAGCCCAATGACTGGGGAAAAGGGAAATTTTTAAATAAAACCAAAACCTGGCCACTCATAGCCTGCTACCCACCCCACCCCCAAAACTGGCCTCATTTGCAACATAAAATGGAAGGTCGTATTTGAGAGAAGAGCAGAAGCCAAGTTTAGAGTCGAGAGAAGGTTTAAGTCAGGTCATAGGTGGAGGGTAAGTTATTTCAAATCCTGTTCTTGTGACATGTTAAGCTGTTCCAAAAATTGTCGGTTCACTGAGTTCCTCAAGAAAGCATCTAGGCTTTCTGCGGTCACCACCCCTTTCAAAACTTTCCAAATTCTCTTAAGGCAAAATTGTTTTTAGAAGCTAGAGATCGATATCTGGATCCCAAAAAATCGGTGCAATCTGACAGAAGCATAAGTTATGCTTGTTGGTTGTCAAAAGGCCTCCTCCGTCTCCGGGGGCGGAGCCTGCATGGTGATGTCGGCGGTGCCTGCCGGGGGAGGCGGGACTAGGTCAGGCCGGCCCCGCCTGCGGCCCTTGGCGTGCTTTCCCACGCGGCTGCCCACGGCTTCCGGCCGCTGCAGCTTTGAAGGGCAGGCAGCATAAGCGGCGTGGGGTCTTGGGAATGGGCTTAAGTGTACTATCTTCATTAGGAATTGCTGCCTCCGGGCCAGAAGAGCCATAGGGGGCTGAGAGACGGTCACCCGGCTACAGATTGAAATAGGACCCAGTTATTCTTGTGTCTCACATCTTAGTGCTGCCCTGGCCTCACAAACTCCCCGCCCCCTCCTCCAACGCGGCCCCTGTCACCAGGCCCTCGGGTGGGTGAGAACACCCTGTTCCTCCGGAATGATGGGCAGTTTTTCCTTCCGCTGCCCACTCCCAACATGCATACACACGTACGCCCCCCCCCAGGAGAATAGTTATTATATAACTTATGGTCTGGAATGGCCGCCAGTCTTCTGAGACAACACAGCGTTTGCTGGGAGTCGCATCTTCTGTTAGGAATCTTCTCTTGAGCTCTCCAAATGAGAGCCATCATCTTTATGGGAGTGTTGCTGAACTTGGCCTTAGGTATGCATGTCACAGGGGACAGAGCCCTGGATTTGATTCAGGAGATCGGAGTTCTACCCTGGTCACAACTGTGTGTGACCTTGAGCAAGATATCCTCCTTGGGCTTCAATTTTCTTTCTAAAATATGATTGGACTGTACATAACCTAAGGTCTTTTCCACCCTTTATATCCTATGTCTCTAAAATTGCTCTGGGGGTGGGAGAGAAAGGTGGAAGGGGGGGTGGGCAGGGCTGCTCAGCTACCAAGCCCCTCTCCTCTTAGGTGCCAACCTCCACCTCAACCCTCGCCTCCCTTCACTCTACCCCAAACTCCTCCGCTGCTATCGATGCATCCTGGAGACCAAGGAACTAGGATGTGTTTTGGGCTCTGATATCTGCCTCACAGCCAAGGGTGGAGGCTGCCTAACTACCATTATTCACTGTGGTGAGTGACCTCCACCCTTTTCCCCACCTCATTAAACTGAGCCTTTCCAGATCTTCCTGTCTAGCTGACTGAAACTACATCAGGAGCCCCAGCCTTCGATGATATTTAGACTGTCCTTAATTCTGTTCCCAAATTATCTTGGTGGCTCCTGCTGCCCAGCCCTGCTGCCAGTTCTTCACTCCAGTGTTCTAATTCTGTCCAAAAAACTATCCTAAGATATCAAATTGTTGGTTGATTTACTCTAACTTCAACCTGTCATCATTCTACTCCCATTCCACCCTCTCTTCTCCCACCCTTAACTTTACTCAGATCCCTCATGACGCCACACACATCAAGTCCATGCCTGCAAATCTTCATTAAGATGTAGTTCTGTTTTTTTAACTCGTAGGCATGGTAGGGGTAAGGGTGGAAAAGTTTAGGGAAAGGATTCAAATACCTTGAAGGCAATAAAGGTAGTTTTCCCAAAAGGACAGTGCCCAGGCATCTACTGATGACTGAGGTTGATGAATGTAAAATGAGGACAGAATGACTTAAGGAGGACAGTTTGGAAATACAAAGAAAATCCTTTGGGAGGCAGTGAGGACTTTCTGAAGAATGGTGTGAGGACATTTTGGGGATCTGGGTGGGAACTTGGAGAGTAACTCTCTCTCCCTTTAGGCAGTAAGGATGAAGTCATCGTAAGCGACTGCAGGGCGAAGGATCGGCTGTCAGAATGCTCACTGTCACTGGCCTCCCCTGTGCCAGGTCTTTGGGTGTCTTCTCGATGCTGCCTTGAGCCGCTTTGTAATTCTCCACCTCTCCGTGACCAGACCTTGTTGCAGAATCAAGATAAAAATACTAGTGTTGTATTGGATTTCCTCATTCCCATTCCTACCTCTAAAATCACCACCACTCATTCTCCCACAAAACCCCTCAACCAGCCAAACTGAATGGCCCTCAGCCATTCAAACTCCTAACTAGCCGTTTCTGAGAGCTCCCTTAGAGAGAGCGCTGACCCTACTTGGCCCCAAACCTGATCCTGTTTTAGAATACAGCTAGGGATCTTCATTGCGATGGGATTCCTTGTACCTTGCCCTGGGAGTTCTGTCAGGAAGACTCAAGTTTCAGACTGTCCCTCAATTCCTCCCCCCACCCCCAATCTCATTCTGCCCACAAGTTTCCTGTTCAGATTCTCCAATACAATCTAAGTCAATTCACCACATTCATGAAACATCTCAACTACATGTAGTACACTATTAGGCTGTCTACCACCCCAAGATGATACAGATGATATAGACTCAGAGCCAGGAGAGACTGAAGAGGTCATCTAGCCTCCCTAGCCCCCAAACGTTTTACAGGTTGCCTCTCTAGATCTCATTTTCCTAATCTGCAAAGTGAAGAAAGCCCTCAGAGTTGTCATGCAGAAATCATTTTGTCAACTATAAAACTATGTGAATTTTAATTATTAATAAAAGTCACATCATCATTGGCAAAGGTCAGGACTAGAGCACATACCTCCCAAGTTCCAGCAGACTAATGGCTCTTTCCATTACAACTTCCTTCTGTACTGAATCATTTGAACTTTTATCTCCACTTTTCCCCGTTAATGATGGAAGAGGGAGAGTTGGTAATGTCTCTCCACACCTTAGTCTTTGCTCTAATTTTACTCCATAATAAATTGATGATGCAGAAAAACCTGTGTCCAAATTTAATGAAATTGAGGGTGGGTTGAGGGGGTGAGATAGTGAGGAATAAAGAAAGATAAAACTAGAGGGTGCTGCTTAAGTGTCAGATGTCAGTGAGACCAGGAGCAGATTAGTCCAATGTAGCACAGCAGTCCAATGCAGTTCTGACAGTACCTCCCAGCTGAGTTAATTGAATCCCTCACATGCCAAAGAGCAGAGTGTTACAAGCCCAGGGCCCCAATTGCCTATCACCTCCCATCTACACAACAAACTGCCTGCCACCCCTAAACCTCAGGTTGTAAAGTTAATCTCCAGGATGCCAGGGTATAACCGTCTTGAGGGATCATCTGGAAATTGTCCTCCCTGAAGGGAGAGGGGGTGGCAAAAAGGCATGGATAGACCCCAAAGTCAGGCTCCTCTCATGTCCAGTCAAGTGAAAAAGCATCGAGTTCCTGCTATGTGTCAGGCACTGTGCTAAACACTGGGGATAAATACAAAGAAAAACAAAATCCAGTGCCTGTCCTCAAGGAGCTCATAGTCTAGTGGAGATGACAACATGAAAACAACTATGTACAAACAAGATATTCAGTATAAATCAGAGGTAGTCTCAATAGGGAAGGCACTGAGATTAAAAAGGACTGGCAAAGGCTCCTGGTAGAAAGTGACACTTCAGTTGAGACTTGAAGGAAGCCAGGGAAACAGAGAGAGAGGGAGAGGGAGAGAATTCCAGGCATGGGGGACAGTCAGGGAAAATGCCCAGTCAGAAGATGGAGTATCTTGAGATGAACAGACAGGAGGCCAGTATCAGTGGATCACAGACTACTAGGAAATGGGGTATGAGGAATAAGGTATAAGAAGACTAGTTGGGTAGGAAGGGGACAAGATAGGAAGGCTTTTACAAGCCAAACATTTCTCTTTGGAATCTAGGAGGCATCGAGGTAGCACAGTGGGTTGAGCACTGGACCTATTGTCAGAAAGACAAGTTTAAATCTCACCTCAGACACTTACTAGTTGTGTGACCCTGGGCAAGGCATTCACCCATTGTCTACCTCAGTTTCCTCAACTATAAAATGAGGATAATAATAGCATCTACCCCCCCTGGGTGGTTTTGAGGATCAAACAAAATTGTATTGGTGCCCAGTACATAGTAAGTGCTATATAAATGCTAGCTACTATTATTAAACAGAGGATTTTATATTTGGTCTTGTAGACAACAGGGAGACACTGGAGTTGATTGAATAGAGGTGGGGAATGCCATGGTCAGACCTGCACTTAGAAGATCAATTCGATAGCTGAGTGAAGGATGGATTGTAATGGGGAGAAACTTGAGACAAATTTCTCCAAACCAAACTAAATGCTATGGCAATTGTCCAGTCATGAAGTGATGAGGCCCTACCCCAAGGTGGTAGCAATGTTACAAGAGAGAAGGGAGAATATATGAGAGCTGTTAGGAAGGTAAATATCAATGAAACTTGACAACTGTTTGGATTTGGGAGAGGTGAAAGAGTGAAAAGAGGATGACACCAAAGTTGCTGGCCTGGGTGACTGGGAGAATGAATGGAAAAAAGAAAAAAAATTATTAAGCACTTACTATGTACAAAGCACCAGGGATACAAATAGAAAGTCAGACAGTCAGGGCAGCTAGGTGGCACAATGGATAGAGCACCGATCCTGGAGTCAGGAAGACTTGAGTTCAAATCTTGCCTTAGACACATAACGCTAGCTCTGTGGCCCTGGGCAAATCACTTAACCCTGATTGCCTCGGGGTGGGGGGTGGGGGAGCCCCTGCTCTCAAGAAACTCACATTCTCATCAGCATTTCTTTATATGACCAACAAAGCCCAGCAGCAAGAGATAGAAAGAGAAATTCCATTGAAAATAACTAGGGGCAGCTAGGTTGTGCAATGGATGGAGCACCAGCCCTGGAGTCAGGAGGACCTGAGTTCAAATCCAGCTTCAGACACATAGCACTCACTAGCTGTGTGACCCTGTGCTAGTCACTTAACCCCAATTGCTTCACCAAAAAAAGAAGAGAAAATAACTGTAAACAATATAAAATACTTGGGAGTCTATCTGCCAAGACAAACCCATGAACTATATGAACACAATTACAAAACACTTTTCACACAAAGTCAGATATAAACAATTGGAAAAATAACAATCGCTCATGGGTAGGCCTAGCCAATATGATATAAATGACAATTCTGCCTAAACTAATTTACTTATTCAGTGCCATACCAATCAAATTACCAAAAAATGATTTATAGAGGTAGGAAAAAATAACAACAAAATTAATCTGGAAGAACAAAAGGTCAAGAATATCAAGGGAATTAATGGGGAGAAAAAAAGGGAAGGTGGCCTAGCAATACCAGATTTCAAACTATATTACAAAGTAGTCAATGACCATAGTGACCTAGTTTTTTACAAACCCAAAGACCCCAGCCTTTGGGATAAGAATTCATTATTTGACAAAAACTGCCAGGAAAACTGGAAAACAATAGGGCACAAACTAGGTATGGACCAATATCTCATATTGTAGACCAAGATAAGGTCAAAATGGGTACATGATTTAGACATGAAGGGTGACATCATAAGCAAATTAGAAGAACAAGGAATAGTCTACCTGTTAGATCTATGGAGAAGGGAAAAATTCATGATAGACAGCATTACAAAATGTAAAATAGATAATTTTGATTATATTAAATTAAAAAGCTTTTGCACAAACAAAATCAATGCAACCAAGATTAGAAGAAAAACAGGAAGTTGGGAAAAAATCTTTACAGCAAGTGTCTCTGATAAAAGCCTTATTTCTCAAATATTTAGAGAACTGCATCAAATTTATAAGACTACAAACCATTCCCTAACTGATAAATAGTCAACATATATGAACAGACTTTTCAGATGAAGAAATCAAAGCTATCTATTGGCATATAAAGAAGTGATTCTGGGGCAGCTAGATGGCACAGTGGATAGAGCACCAGCCCTGGATTCAGGAGGACCTGAGTTCAAATCTGGCCTCAGACACATAACACTTACTAGCTGTGTGACCCTGGGCAAGTCACTTAACCCCATTGCCTAACCAAAAAAAAAAGTGATTCTAAATTACTTTTGATTAGAGAAAAGCAAAATAAATAACTCTTCAAGTACCACCTCACACCTACCAGATGGACTAATATGACAACAAAGGAAAATAATAAGTGTTGGAGAGGATGTGGGAAAACTGGGATACAAATGCACTGTTGGTGAAGTTGTGAGCTGATCCAACCATTCTGGAGAGCAACTAGGAGCTATGCCCAAAGGGCAGCCAAACTGTGCATACTCTTTGATCCAACAATACCACTACTGGGTCTGTATCCCAAAGAGATCATAAAAAAGAGAAAAGGACCCACATGTACAAAAATATTTATAGCAGCCCTTTTTTGTGTTGGCAAAAAATTGGAAATTGAGGGGATACCCATCAAAGGGAATGGACAAACAAGCTGTGGTATATGAATGTAATGAAATACTATTGTGCAATAAGAAATGATAAGCAGGCAGACTTTAGAAAAACCTGGAAAGGCTTGTACAAACTGATGCAAAGTGAAGTGAGCAGAACCAGGAGAACGTTGTACACAGTTATCAGCAATATTGTGTGATGATGATTGACTCAGCTTTTCTCAGCAACAGAATGATCTAAGACAAGTACAAAGGACTCATTATGGAAAATGCTATCCACATCTAGATAAAAAACTGATGGATTCTGAATGCAGATCGAAGCATCCCTTTTTCACTTTATTTTTTCATGGGTTTTTTCCTTTTGATCTGTTTCTTCTTTCACAACTGTGACTGATACAGAAATATGTTTTACATAATTACGCATATATAACCTATATCAAATTGCCTACCATTTTAGGAAAAGGGGAGGGGAGGGAGAGAGGAAGAAAAATTTGGAATTCGAAATCTTGTAAAAATGAACACTAAAAATTGTCTTGGCAAATAACTGGGGAAAAAAATTGGGGGGGCTTTTTTTTTGTGAGGCAATGGGGGTTAAATGACTTGCCCAGGGTCACACAGCTAATAAGTGTCATGTGTCTGAGGCCAGATTTGAACTCAGGTCCTCCTGAGTCCAGTGCCAGTGCTCTATCCACTGTGCCACCTAGCTGTCCCTAAAAAAATAATACCTTTTTTAAAAAAGAAGGGGTAGGGGCAGCTAGTGGATAGCGCACTGGCCTTGGAGTCAGGAGGAACTCAGTTCAAATCCAACCTCAGACACTTGACAGTTACTAGCTATATGACCCTAGACAAGTCACTTAACCCCATTGCCTAGCCAAAAAAAAAAAAAAGCAGCAGCAGCTCACATTCTGAAGGAGGAAGACAATGCCTATGTTTCAGCTACCTAGTCCTTAGGGTACAGCAGCAAAGCATCATTATTTCCACTGACAAATTCATATCCGTTTCTGATATGATAAGACTTTGATGACAAAAACTTTATTTTCTGGGTCTTTCAATAGATCTATGTCTACAGCACCTGCAGAAACAGTTGTCAGGCTGCATCTCCACAGGGGTTGTTTCCCAGGGTGACAGCTGAGGGAATCTTGTTCGAAGCTTTGCCATTCCCAAGGCTCTTGGTCCTCAGCTGCCTCCCTCAGTGTCTGGGGGAAGATAGTGATCAAGGTCCAGCATATGCCGTGTCTTGTCTCTCCCCCAGCATACTTTGCTCCTTCAGGTAGGCTGGCTTGCCTGTCCAGTGTGGGGCTGTCGGTTGGCAGTTAGTAGAGATGGCTGACCCCTTCTTCCCAGGACTGTTGTCCCTGGATGATGGCTGTAAGGAAGCAACACTAATAGTGTATGTGTGGGGGGGGTGGTAATAGAAGGGAGAAGGCTGCCATTGCCAAGTAAGTATTTGCCATTTGTTGTCATTTCCTCCATAAAGCCTTCTCTGATATTCTAAACTAGAAGGGAGGGAATAGGCATTTATATAGAACCTACTATATGTCAAGCACTGTGCTAAGTGCTTTACA